TTCATGACTGTTACATGGAAACATAAATACAGAACTTCCAAAACAGAGATGTCATTGGAATAAGAAAATGTTGCAGGTTTTTTGTTTTGTTTTGTTTTGTTTTTCTGGAGCAGCATCTCTTCATCCCTGAGATTTGTTTATGAAAAGTAGAAAGAATTGCTATATATTCACTTTTTTTCAAGAGATACGTCAGGAGAAATGCAGGATTGTAAATAAGGAATGCAACCTGGAACTGCTGTTACTGATTTCACAAGTTAAAGAGTGGTAAATAATGCACAAATATCTTTAAGGGTCCATAGAAGTTTTCTTAGCTTGATGTGCCTTTATCTGTTAACTGAAGTTGCGAGTTTGGAACTAATGACAAGTTGATTAGAAATGACTTGGCTGTTGTGGAAGTACTTCAGTCTTTGTTCAAGTAGTTTGGTTCACTCAAGTAATAATCTAGTTCACATTTCTTTAATGCATTCATCGGTTTGTGTTTCAACTTTTATTTTGTGAATAAACCTGATAGTTTAAGATGAGAACAGTATTACAGAAATTCAGTTACTTATTGATGTCAATTGTGAATGTCAAGTATCAATTTTTTTTTTAACTTTGAGTCCTACATTTTATTTCATCAGTTTTTTCGAGCATGTTTGCTCCTATTAAAGTTTACAAAAGTCAGTGTTTGCCCCCTGGCATAACATCCTGGAAAAGACAGCATTTTTCTTTTCTTTGTTATTTTTAAAAGTTTACTAGGTTGTATTTCAGCAATTTAATAGGAGATTTTAGTTCAATTTTTTTTTTCCTCTCCATGTTTCAGCAGAGGTGTTTTGACAACATATGTTATTTGGCTGTGAGTTTCCAAATAGATTTTATTAGTATCTCATATTTCATGGATTATATAGGGGTAATGGGTAGGAAGGAGGATCTTCCTTTCATACTTTGGGTTATCTTTGTTAATGATTTGTGATTTTAAAAATTTATTTTTAAAGCAAACTATTGGATTAAATAGTCAACATCCATGCTTTTACACTATCTGAGTCCTTTTCTCTGAAATTTTACTTTGTTGCTTAGTTATTTCCATTTCACTGAATAGCATTTAAGTGAAGAAATTTGGACAAATTCCTTTTCACATCTCATTTGTTTTCATAATTCAGTTGCAAGCTGAAAGTTTAGCTGTTCTCTTCAGTAAGATGTATTTCTTAAATCTAGGCAGATTAGACTGAACAATGTTGTTCCTGTTTCACTGTTGTCTTGCCCTATTCCAGAATGAATATGCTTAGAGAAGCACTTGGGTTTTTTTTAAGCTTGTTAAATCTCAATCCTTAGTTTCAATGAGATAGCTGAGAAATTATTCATGTTAAATTTGAAACTGAAATTTGTCATATTTATTTTCATTTTGAAAGCAGTTAAATGCCTGAGAACTTGATCTACTCTCACTGTAAGGTGGCATAAAGGCAATCTTTAAAGTATAACAGAAATCTGTGTTGATATGACGAAAATGATGGCAGTAAAACAATTGTCTGTTTTCTTGTTTAGTGTGTCTATTTATTTAAAAACAACAACAGCAACAAAACTCCCTTGAAATGTTCCATTTTCTTGCAGAGAAATGTAAATAGCATAGGAATTTTAAAGCATTAGGAGATTTTTCAGTTTATAATTGGCTGAGGATAAAAGATAGTAAAATTGATTTAATTTTTAATTTGCCCATTTATATTGAGTATGATCTGTGGAAAAGTAGGCAGTGAAGTGAAGTTTGAATGGATTGAGTGTTTTGAGGTGTGTAAGATACATGAATGTTACCTTTTTTTCTCATGCTATGATAAAGTATTATTTCTAAAATAGTTTTGACTGTTTTGTTCTCATTGTTGGTGCACAGGGAGTTAAGCAGCAGGCAAAATAAATATTACAAAGCTGGTTTAGTCACAGCTTGCTTTTTCTCTTCTGCTGAAGTTTGTCTCCAGTAGGAGAAAAATTTAATCTGTAATTAACGGTTGAATTGTGAAATATATATACTTTAGCATCTTCTGAATATTAAATGTTGCCTTTTGAAATTTCAGATATTACAGTTTCTAAAAGAAAAAACAAGTGGAATAAAAATCCATATAAAACTCCAGAATTACTGACCTATTTTCTTTTTGTTTTGAGAATATTAATTTTTTATTTCTCACCATGTACAGATGGAAAGTAGTTGAGTGCTGAAATTTAGTTGGAGTCATAGGTTATGTTTTTAATAGGGACGTGGTTTGATTTAGGTATAATTTTGTTTCTATTTCTGTATGAACACATAATTGAACAACTGTTGTTACAGTTTTGCAGGAAAAAATGATCTTGAGGTATGGATTGAAAAACTAGATGCTAGAGATGTAGTTAATAATTGAAATTCTTTGTTTTTCCTAAGGTTAGTTGTATTGCTTAAGACAAAAAAAGGGGTGACATTCACTGAGTAGCTGATGTAGCCTCTTTTCCATATAGACCATCCTCTTTTTCTGTCCCTCATATACCAAAACCCAAGAGGATGTGGTTCCTGCAGATAACAGCTGTTCTTCTAGGGCTATGAGTATGATCTCTAAAAATAATGCATTTATTCTACAAAATGTTCCATGTAGATTCATCTCCAGCCAGAACTAGGTCATTCATCTAACTAATTCTGTATTTAAATAGATGTGAATATTTACACCAACTTTTTTATAGTTTGGGGAACTAAAAAGATTTTGGTTTTCATGTTTCTTTTCATGGTAAACTGTGACATTATTGTGGTTTATGTTTGCCATTTCTTTCTACTGTCACTTCTAGTATATCACATTAAGTTAATTTAATCATTCTCAGTTTTACATGTTTAGACAAAAGTCTAAGTGGAATACGTTTCAAATGAAATAATGCAGATTAAATATTGATTGATATTAAAACCTTGATACATTATTTTGCAGAATGAGAAATAGAGTATTGCCTTAAAAATTATATTAGCTCAGATAAATAATAGTGTACAGCATGAAATGAAGTGTAGAGGAGAAACTATTACATTTAGCAGTATTAATAGGGTTTTTCCAGTCTAACAGATGAAAAGATGAACAAAATAATTCCCCTATAAATACTTTTATTTACTGAGCTTCAAAGTGGTTGGGAGCAAATAACTATATATCAGGAAATGGGTATCAGTAGTCCAAATGATCATTCGGTGGTCTCTGTTATGGGAAATCAGAAGGGAAACAAAGGTAGCTACAGATGCAGAATGTACAGCTATAGGAAACTGAATGAACATGTAGTGCAGAAGAAATATCAGAGTGTGGTTTCACAAATGAGTTTTAAAAAAATATTTAAAATCTCTGTTTTTCTTATTGCTGCTTCTGAAATGTTTTCTATGTGTAAAAAAGAATAGTAGCAGTAATGGGGAAATAAATTCAGAATTCTGTGTTTATGCTAGCAAAGAATATAAAAATTGAGTGAATCTGTGAATATTTTTAGTAGCTTTATTTCATTGAACTTGAGAATGATGGAACATTTTTGTGACTTTTGTCAGTTTAATGATAACTTTAGAATTATTTCTCATTTTATGAAATACTAGGCTAAAATGAAGTGACTCACAGAAGCAATAGTTTATTTTCTTATGGAAATGTTGTATCTATTAATATTTTTTTCTTTGTCTTTACAAAATATGTTGTGCACAGTTGGTTGATATTATTTTTGTGAATACTAAAAGGATTCCATAAGTTTTTTTCCCCTGCAATAATTAGTTTATTCTGCTCAGAGGAAAATGCTGTTTTCTGCTGTTTCCACCCCTGAAGCAGAATGCTTCTGCAGCAAACCACAGCAGCTTGAAAGCAATGCACTTTCTACTGGAAAAACAACACATATCTGAAATAACTATCAACCTATTTAGCAGTGTTATGTTAAAACTACATTGAAAGTTTGTGTTATGCAGGTTTGATACAAATTCTTGTGAAGAAAGCACTTGAGTAAACGAAGCAGCAGAGTTTAACTGCTGCTTGAACTAATGTTTATGGTTAATGCATCTGCAGTGAAGAACAGTTTGCCATATATTGTGTGTTTGGTGGAAAGGACATGCATCATCTTTCCATTATTCTTTCTCACAAAAAAAAAATGCTTGTGAAAGTACAACGGTTCTATGAAACAACTTTGATGTGTTTATAAGCATAATGTGTTTTTTTTTCCTGTATACACATAGACTATACTTATGAAGCCAGTTAAATTAGCTTCCTAAATTGTGAATAATGTGGGCTGTATTTTCTAGAAAACATTAGTTCCAGTTTCTTTTGTAACTACAGTTTTTGTGCCACTCAACAAAACTGCAAAGGGAACACATGTGGAGCCTTAATTTTTTTTTTTTTTTTTTTTTTTTACCTCAAGTCTTTTATAGGTGGGATATAAAAGCACATTGTATAATCTAATGAATTGTATGGAAAGGAACCACATGTTTTCCAAGTAGAAAAAAATAAATTTTAGTGATATGTGTAGTATGTTTCTATCGATATGTCGTACTTTTAATCCTGGTTACTTGCCTAACCATTCTTTCAATTCCTGCATTATTTGTTGATTTTCATACTTCAGTGAGAGCTGTGTCTACTCTGTAAAAATTTCTTACTGTTTAGAATAGATAGGCTTAAAAAAAAAGCTTAAAATGTGAAGGTGCCCCATTTCCACGTTTTACTCTGAGGATTTTTATTTAGAGATGATATCAAATAAAATGGTCCTTTCCCTTTGCTGTAGTAGTTTCTAAAGCATAGAGACATATTTTGTTCTTAAACATCCTTTTCCCACCAAAAAGCTTTATGTACACAGAATATATGCAAATCACCACTACAAAATGTGAGTCTCACAGTGAGATGTAGAGATCCAGGGAACTGGGGCAAAGAAAAACAACCGACCTCTCCTCCCCTTCTATAAAAGTAGTTTCTTTGTGGGGCTTGTTTCCCTGAGGAACTTCCTGATACTCTGATACTCTGTCATGTGTAATTGGATTGTAGCTCTTTCTGAATACTGTTTTCTCCTCTTGACAGCATGGGGTAACCTTGGAAATGTCCTCAAGAGCCAGAGCAAGATTTCTGAAGCTGAAAGCGCCTATAGAAATGCCTTGTACTACCGCAGCAACATGGCTGATATGCTTTATAATTTGTAAGTATGCATGGCTTTCCTGGGGTTGGATTGTCTCTGGAACCTGTTGTGAATGGAGCTATTGATTCACGGACTGGAAATGGAGATGATGTTAGCTGTTGCTTTGTAATAGTCATTTCATTAATCATGCTCCTTAAACTATGAGATGGACAGGACCTTTCCGTAGTCAACATTATCATATATTCATGTATGGGTATGGAGAAGGTAAACTTACAAATCTGTCTGCTTTAAAGGAAGAAAAAAAAATAAAAAAACACACGGAACAAAGTACAGATAGATGAGCTGGCAACAGTAGCACTCCATCTGTTTCTGACTCTGCTAAAAGATAGAGGTGTTATTTAGGCTTCTTTTTCAGTTCTGAATAGCACTTGGTGGGAGGTGTGGGTGTAAGCACTAGCATAAGCCAATGCGCCTCGGTTAGCTCCAGTGGTCTAAAATGTGAAAACAACAAACGACTTTTCTCCTGTGGCTGACTTCATGGCAGTGTAGGTTCAAGAAAATTTAATTACTAGAATCCTGTTGTAGGTGGGTAAGAGAATAAATATCATGAGCATCAAAATAATTCTACAGCGGGGCAGAAGATTTCCCAACTCATTAATGTACCAAATCATGGATACAGAATGCACCGTTGTGTTCAGCTGCTCACTGAGGTATCATCCTGCTGCGTTACTTTTTAAATGAGAGCAGCAGTTTGTTCTTAAGCAAAGTGGCAGGGAGGGGGCTGATTCTCTGTGTGTCCTGGCTGGGCGTCTGCCTGCTACCTGCTCAGCACTGCTTATTGTGCTGGTACTCACCCTTCCTTCCCCTCCTGCCATCACTCCCCAGCCCCAAACTGGGGCTCCACTGTGAGACAGACCTGTCGTCTTCAATAGCCACATGCTGTTGTTTCGTGATGTGTGAGGAGAACAAAATCCAGGTGACTGCCATTCATTTGGTAGTAGCATGAAAATCTCATCCCATATGCTGTACAAAAGGATATATATTAGAGAAACAGCGTATGCACAAATTAAATGTAAATAGTAAGCCTCTTTAAATCAATAATTTTCTGCCTGTAAGTCCAGTTTGAAATGGTCATTTATAATATCTAGAAATGAAGTTTACCGTAAAAAACTTTTTTTTCCCTGTTTAACCAGGAATATTTAATTAATTTGCCTTACAGTTAAACATACTGAAAACTCAAAATAATTTAATGTTAGAATTTCTGTTACAAAATCAAATCCATGTATCCAAATATGTATATTTTAAACAGTCATACCACTACATGCATACACATATGCCCGTAATTTTTTTGTCTCTGTTAGGCAGTGGGGAGTGTGAGAAGCATATTTTTAAGAACAAACTGCTGCTCTCATTTAAAAAATAACTGCTGAATGTAGCAGAAGACTGT